CCTTCTTAGGCTGCAGTGCTGGGGCAGCCCCAGGGCTTTCCTCCTCCGCTTTCTTCACCCAGGTCAGCTTGAGCACCCTGGGGGGTCTCCACTCCATGTCTCTGTCTTGGTTCATGGTTTCCTGCAGGAGACATGGCATGGAAATCTCTGGTCACCAAATCCTGCACAAGTGCCTTGAAGGCATCTGCAACAGAGGACTGTTTGGAATGCTCCAGGTCATCAAGTCCCGCAGTCTGGCCTGGAGAGGACATGGGGCACTTACAGCTGCCAGAGGGAGCAATTCCCCAGCTGCCCCCGAGAAGTCCTTCCCTTCCCACCACACTGTGCGAGCCTCAGAGGCTGAGGGGGCCCAGCAGACCCAGCTTGAGGGGCCAGACAGTCCCTAGCCACAGGCTGCTTACTTCCACAGAGATAACTCCCTCGTCAAGAATATCCAGAATGAGAGCATCTGGCAGGCACTGAATGGGTGTGCTGTCAGCATCTGCGATGCCCTCAGTCGTTGCACCATCAGCCTCCATGGTGAGCTCAGGCAGTGCCGTGTTGGAATTTGTCACGTGATCGGTCACCGCGGTGTCACAGTTTGCTGTGCCATCAACTGAGGCGGTGCCGACATCAGGGTCCGCCTTGAGCTCAGCTGGCGTGGGGTCAGGCTGTGCCATGACCTCAGTTGGTGTGATTCTGTACTTTCTACGCCGAATGCCCAACATTTTCAGAAAGCCCTGCGGGAGAACGAAGGGCAGGGAAGAGACGGATGTATCATGGAGAGCTCCAACAGTGGTGCCAGGCTGACAGCATGCTCAGCCCAGGGGGGGATGGCTGCTGGCACCTGTACTGTCCGGCGGAAGCGGCCACGGGCACGGTCCTGCTCTTGTGTCTGGTTCTGGCCTGGATCTGGTAAAGAGTGAGCGTGGTCAGAGCTGAGGGGCTGCGGGACAGGCCAGGGAACACAGCCCAGCCCTGTGCTCCGCAGGCAGGGCCAGCCCTGGCATGCCCAGTGCATGGAGCTGCCGGGGGAACAGCCCCAGGCCCTCTTCCCCTCTCCCTTTCCCTGGCCATGTCCATAGGGGATGGGATGGGAAGAGGCCCGTCTGGCTGCAGCCACCAGCCCTGTGGCCCAGCTCTGCCACTCACCCTCCTGCAGGGGCTGGAACTGCTCCACCTCCTCAGACTGCTGTGCTGGAGTAGTCCCAGGGCCTTCCTTCTTCTTCCGAAAGGGCCTGAGCAGGCTCAGGCGTCTTCCTAGCATCCCACAGTCTGGTCTTGAGGGTACCTGCAAGAGAGAGACACCTCGGAAGATCTCCGGGTCACCAAGTCCTGCAGGCTGCCCTCGAGGCCACCTTCCGCAAGGATTGGAGACTCCCCGGAAAATTTCCGGGACACCAATCCTGCGGTCTGGCCTCGAGGGCAACTGAAGGAGAGAAAAGCCTAGGAAACGCTATGGGTTATCAAGTTGTGCAGCGCGGCCTCACGGGCACTTGTCACAGGGGTTGGGGACACCTTGCCAAAGCTCCGTGTCACCAAGTCCCGCGGTCTGGCCTTGAGGACACCTGCACCACAGAAACACCTCCAAAACGCTCCGGGTCAGAAAGGAAGGAGTTGACTGCGTGGGGGCTCCACACAGCACCGCTCTATCCCGTCTATCCCGTCGCATGCTCCGAGGAGCACTGAGACGTGGCCACGTCACCACCAGTACTATGTCATCACGTGTCACAAAGGCCCTGTGACAACCTGCCCTGTTCCATGCCATCAGCAATGCCCACCGTGTCACGAAGGGCCCTGTGACACACTGCCACCTGCCCTGGGGCCTCCCCCAGCCCAGCCACCTGCCCCAGGTCAGAAGGAGTTTGTTCTCCAAAGTATCTAAGACAGTTGGACATGAACTTTAGGCACAATTCAAAAACTAAGCAAACCCACCCCTGCTGTGCCCGCCCACAGCAGCAGAAGTATCCCCCTCGGTTGCCAACGCAGCCGCAGCGGGAAGGGCACGAGGCCTCCACAGAAGCTGGCATGGGCTCCCTGGGAGAAATGCCGGCTGGTGGTCCTCCCAAACACGGGGCTGTGACACACAGAAGGAATGCGGGGGCAAGGGCACCAATGCTGCTCCAACCCTGTTGGCCGGGGCTGCACCAAAATCAGCAGCTCTGGCAAGGCCTCACCGAAGGAGACCTGCCACCGCCCCGAGTCCTGGCAGGAGTGGTGCCTGTCTCCTGCCCCAAAGAACTGTGCCCCTGGGGGACTTCTCTGCCAGAGGGCAGCCAAAGCCAACGGGCACTGATGTCTGTGCTCTTGCAGGGGGCTGTTGGGAGCAGCACTTGGAGCAATTGGTGGCAGCGCTCGGCATCTGTCAGAACACAGGAGCACTTTCTCCTTGCAGGAATGATTTTTGCATGGAAGTGATGACCTGCAGCAGAAAACCACCATCAGTTGCTGAGTTTCACATGAAGATTAGATTGCTCAGAAATCCTGTCAAGCTTCCTCGTGTTATTTGGACTTTTTTTCTGCATTCTGCAAAATAAAAGCTGTCCAGTCTGACGTTCAAAGCTCCAGTTGCTGTGTGCCTGAATGCGACTCAGCTGATATCCAGGGCATTGGGGGAAAGCAAAGGGGACAGGGAGAACTCTGGGATGCAAACCTGTTCCGTGTCTCTGATTAAGGTGCCACCTCACTGGAAGGAGCAGCCAAGACAAGTGCTGGAAACAGATGTGTTATGCCAGTTGCTGCTCTGGCATGGACAGAGGGCACACATGTTCCCATGGGTCCAGAACAGTTGATCCAAGAACAATGAGGGGCCATGCATTGGTAGGGAATGGGCTCCAGCAAGCCCAAAGTAGGATCCTCTAGCAGCAAAACCTGAGCTTGTGAAATGGGCCGTCTTTGCAGCAGACACCACAGTGCTGACTTCCCTCCATCCTGGAACCTGAGCCATATGAGGCCCTGCTTCAGTTTCTGCTGCTTCTTCCTTCCATTCCGGGAAGGCCTGGATTTAGAGTTTAGAAGCCCATACATGTGTTTTTAAGGTGCCTGCATGGAGGAGACTTTCAGCAACTGCACCCCAAGGCTCATATCCCATCACAGTCTCTAAGGATGGCCCCAGTGCCACTGCCTTGGGACACCTGAGTCTGGAAGGTGACTCTGCCCTCAGGCATGGCCACAGAAGTGAGCCAGGATGACAGGCTGCCCCTGAAGGTGCTAAGTGTTGTTGTGAGGCTGGGCAGTCAATAGAAAGCTGTTGTGGCCACTTTCCCTGAAGCCCTTTCCAAACCCCATGCAATTGTGCGCACAATATCCCCACTTCAGGCATCCTGGCCGGTGTGGGTGCCTGGGTGAGGAGGCCCAGGCATCGTGGGTGCTGCTGCTCCTGTGCACAGCCTCCTGCTGTTCTCTGTGACACGGAGCTGCTTGGGTAGCAGCGACTGCGCAGCCCTGCCCCAGGAGCCCCGCGCCCTCCCTGTGCTGGCAGCAGCTCTGAGGGCCCAGAGCTCTGGCTCAGCGGGCTCTGGGCCACAGCGCCAGGGGCCCAGGCTGGCCCTCTGCCTCTCTTCCTCACTGGTAGCACCCAGCAGAGGTGGCCCAGCAGGGCCCCCTTTTCCCTCTTTGTCCCCAGCCAGGCCAGTCTGGCCCCTTTGGAGGTGTCCCCACCCCCCTGCCAAGGCCCCCAGGGCTTCTGCCACAGGGATGGGAGACACCACTGGCAAGCGCCAGAGCAGCTGGCTGTCAGGGAGCCAGGGGGCTGCCTGGGGGCTGCTTATGGCCTCTCCCATGCATTGGTAGGGAATGGAAAGACCAAAGCCTGAGCCTCTAGCAGCAAAACCTGAGCTTGTGAACTGGGAACAAAGGAAAAAGAAGCAGAAGCTGAAGCAAAGCAGGGATTTATACGGCTTGGATTCCTACTAGACAAAAGGTGCCAGGACAGAGCTCTTGCTGCCCATGGAGTGCCCAGGCTGGCCTACCAACTGCATCTGAAACCCAAAGCTTACAGGCTTTCTTTCCTGGGAGAAAAAGCCTGTTACTGGCTTTTTGGAGCACATGGCTGAAAAAAGCAAACAACAGCCCTTATCCCCAGCAAAGAAAGCCTGCAACCTTTGGCTTTCAGGTACAGTTGGTGGGCCAGCCTGGGCACTCCATGGGCAGAAAGAGCTTTCTGTCCTGGCACCTTTGGTCTGGCAGGAATCTTCATCTGTATGGAATTTTGGGAGTTGGGCTGGCAGCTGCAGCGCAGGGCTGAATAAAGCAAACAACAGCCCTTATCCTCAGCAAAGAAAGCCTAGAACCTTTGGCTTTTGAGGGCAGTTGGTGGGCAAGAGTGGGCACTCCATGGACAGCAACCTTTGGTCTGGGAGGAATCTTGGCCCCTATGCAATTTTGGCAGTCAAGCTGGCAGTTTGAGCACAGGGTTGAAAAAAGCAAACAACAGTCCTTTTCTACAGCAAAGAAAGCCTGGCATCTTTATTTTTCTGATGCAGTTGGCCACTCCACGGGCAGCAAGATATTTCTGTCCTAGCACCTTTGGTCCAGCAGGAATCTTGGTCTGTATGCAATCTTGGAAGTGGGACTGGCAGTTTGAGCGCAGGGCTAAAAAAAGCAAACAACAGCTCTTATCCCCAGCAAAGAAAGCCTGTCAGATTTGGGTTTCTGGTGCAGTTGGTGGGCCAGCTTGGGCACTCCATGGGCAGCAAGAGCTTTGTGTCCTGGCACCCTTTGGTCTGGGAGGAATCTTTGTCCGTATGGAATTTTCGGAGTGGGACTGGCAATTTGAGTGCAGGGCTGAGAAAAGCAAACAACCCTTATCCCCAGCAAAGAAAGCCTGGAACATTTGACTCTCTGGTGCAGTTGGTGGGCCAGCCTGGGGACTCCATGGGCAGCAAGAGCTTTGTGTCCTGGTACCTTTTGTCTGGGATTTATCCTCTTCCATATTCAATTTTTGGAGCTGGACTGCCTATTTCAGCTCTGCAATTCCTGCAAGCAAACATCAGTCTTTTTTCCCTGGAAAGAAACCCCTTATCTTCATGGTTTCTGGTGCAGTTGGTAGGCTAGCCTGGGCACTCCATGGGCAGGAAGCGCTCTCTGTCCTGTCTCTGACCAGCTCAGGTCAGCTCAGCTGTCCTTTGATGCCTTCTGAGATGACCAAGAGAGGAACTGAGGTTCTTTGTCAGAGATTTATACTGCATGGAGAAGCTCTTCCATGTTCAGCCCAGCCCAGCCCAGCTCAGCTCAGCTCAGCTCAGCCCAGCCCAGCTCAGCTCAGCTCAGCTCAGCTCAGCTCAGCTCAGCTCAGCTCAGCTCAGCCCAGCCCAGCCCAGCCCAGCCCAGCCCAGCCCAGCCCAGCTGCCCTGCAGGCTCTAATCATTTGATCATTGCTTGGAGCTGAGGGCATTTGTGGGAGATTTAAACTGCTGGGAGAAAGTGCTCCCAGCTGAGCCTAGCTGCCTTGCAAGGTATAATCAGATTATCAGGGAAGGGAGTCCCGGTTGTTTCTTGGTCATATAAACTGGTTCAGGGAGTTCAAATAACCTTGTCTATGGCAAACAGGAGCAGGAAAATGTGGGTGTGGCCTTGTTAAGGAGGGCACGGCAGGGCCCAGGTCACCCAGACAGGGAGAGCAGGAAGAGCACAGCCACCCTCCCAGCTCTCTTTGGTGGCCTGTAAGGTAGGTCTGTGGCTGTGTTTTTGTGGAGTAAGACTAGCAATTTAAATTGAAGAGTTCAAAAACAGAATGAGGGTAATTAAACACTGGAAAGACAACCTTAACCCAATGTCTCTCATGTTCAGCTGGTGGGTCACCCCTAGTATTCCATGTACAGCAAGTGCTTTCTGTCCAGGCACATTTTGTCTGGGAGGAATCTTGATCTGTATGGAATTCTGGGAGTCAGAATAGCAGTAGCAATACAGAGTTGAAAAAAGTAAAGAACAGTCCTTATTCCCACGAAAGAAAGCCTTCAACATTTGCCTTTCTGATGCAATTGGTGGGGCAGCCTGGGCACTCTGTGGGCAGCAAGAGCTTTCAGTGGTGGCACCTTTTCCCTGAGAGGAATCTTCGTTTATATTCAATTTTGGTGACTTGGGACCATATATGGGAGTGCAGGGCTGATAAAAGTGAACAGGAGCCCCTTCTGCAAAAAAGAAGCCCTGGAACTATTGACTTCAGGTACAGTTGATAGGACAACCTGGGCACTCGGTGGGCAACCAGAGCTTTCTGTGCTAGCACCTTTTCCCTGGGAGGAAACTTCATTTGTATGGGTTTCGGGCAGGGGGGCCGGCAAATGCAGCGCAGCGCTGAACCAAGGGTCCAGCAGCCCTGTGCCCCAGGACAGAAAGCCTGTGAGCTTTGGCTTTCAGGTGCAGCTGGTGGTGCAGCCTGGGCACTCCATGGGCAGCCGGGGCTTTCTGTGCTGGCACCTTCTTCCAATGAGGAAAACGAGGATTTGGAGGGGGGGGGGGCTGGCAATGGCGGGGCGGGGATGACCAAAGGGGACAGCAGCCCTGTGCTCCAGGACAGAAAGCCTGTGAGCTTTGGCTTTGTGGTGCAGTTGGTGGCGCAGCCTGGGCACTCCGTGGGCAGCCAGGGCTTTCTGTGCTGGCACCTTTTTCCAATGAGGAATCCTCATTTGTATCGGCTTTGGGAATTGGGATCTGGCTATTGCACTGCATGGCTGAAATTAGGGAACAGCAGCCCTTTGCCCCGCAACAGAAAACCTGTGAGCTTTGGCTTTCAGGTGCAGTTTGTGGTGTCATAGGTAAATAAAACTAGGTTGAAATATAGCAGTAAAAATTTTTTATAAGATTTATATAAAGTGCAAATAAGCAAAACAGCTTTTTATACCCTTATCAATTCCTGTCCTACAGTCACTTGTTATCTCTTTATTGGATCCGAGTTCGCGGGGTTTGTTCTGGTTGGTCCTTTTTTGCAGGCCCAATTCAGTTGCCAGGTACTTTTCCATCAATAGTTTGATGAGTCCGTAGTCCTGGTGTGTGGGACTTTCCAAATGTCCGTCCTGGTTCCTCTTTATCGTCCTTGTACTTGACCCTTTGTTCCTTATCCATCTCATCTTTACCTTATAAGTACACTTTAGATAATATACTTTTAGAAAAACAGGATACAGCATACTTGTTCAGCAAAGCATAATACTTTGTTTTGTCAGCTAGAGAACTACAAGCTGCAAGACAGTCAACCTATAATACTGACATGACAGTTAACTATTCACAACTCACAATCCCCCAGCTTTAGCAGAACATTAACTACAATAATATATAAGAATATAGCATAAAATTTGAATATAGCATACAATTTGATGAGCAAATTATTTTACCATTGCTTACTTATTACAGTGGCACAGCCTGGGCACTCCGTGGGCAGACAGGGCTTTCTGTGCTGGTACCTTTGTTCTGGGAGGAATCCTCATTTGTATCGGTTTTGAGGCGGGCTGGCCAGCAATGGCGGGGCGGGGCTGACCAAAGGGTCCAGCAGCCCTGTGCCCTAGGACAGAAAGCCTGTGAGCTTTGGCTTTCAGGTGCAGTTGGTGGCGCAGCCTGGGCACTCTCTGGGCAG